CCATTCCTGACTGAAACCACGCCGTTGCTCCCTTGACGCATTTGCAACTTTCCCATAATTTATCCACAGCCAAGACTCGAGTCAATCTGACTAAATTCTATGAAGAAAAATCAGCTGATCTATACCAGCCTGTAAACCGTCATGCTTGGCATATTTAGTTCCCTTAGATGTAGATTTAATTTTGTTGCTTTTCTCTGTTTTAGCTTTAGGCGCACATCACCATTATATATATTTGGATGGTCGAACATCAGTGATTTTTATAATGCATCTTTAAAGACTTAATGACAGAAACCCTGTAGGTGAGACACTTGATCATGATGACTGAATTTTTCCTATTAACCCTGTTTCCAAACTCCCTCATTTCACTAATGCAGCAATCAGCCCGCTGGCAAAGGTGGGTACCTGTTATCCAGCGACATACTACTTTTTGGAGGGGCTTTTTTTTGCCTCCACCCTTCGCTTACCCACTTCTTTGTCCTCACCTCGAAACGCAGACAGGGAGTGAGGAAGGCCTAATTCAAAAAAAAAAAAAAATGCGTGGTCTTGCTCTGCTCTCTGCCCTCCACCAGGAGACAGAGTGTGAGAGAACTGCCAGACATCACACAGAAGCAGCACTGAAAAATACATGTATACCACTCCTCATCTCTTATTGATGGCCTCTCCTCCCTTTATGTTTATGAGGTGAGAGGCCTCCCTGTGGCCCCGACAGTGACCCAGAGGATCCACTGGGGTGTGCAAGAAACTGCCTGTTCCCTCTGATTGAGCCCTCTTTCAAATCAAACCACAGTGTGCACATTCTTCCACATGTATAAGTACATTTATGCTGTGCTGAAGAGGGGAAAAAAGGCTGCTTTTCCAGAATTTGAAGGACCAGCTTTATTATGAGATTGCTGACTTTGGTTGTTAGATAGAAGAAAAAAATATATTTTTAAAGGTCTGACCTGTTGTGATTAAATTTTTGCCACCTAATCAGGACCGTGAAACTTCCCAGTTTACAAATATGAAAATGGCAAATGTCTCCTGTTGTCTGGCAAGTGAATTTCTTATTTGTCTGCATCCGTTTTCTTTAATTTTGCATTTTCCTGCAGACGTGTAACATGTCAAGGCTGAAAAATAGAAAGACCACCAATAATTTCTTTTGATTTCTTTTTTTATTTATTTATTTATTTCCCATTTTCTCAAATGTCTTTGTCTAGACTGAACAGTGTAGGATTTACTCACTGTTGGTCCCAGAGGCATTTGTAGCGCTTGCTGACCGTTGGGGGTCAGGGCCTCGGGCTGTTTTTTTTTTTCTCCTTTTGCCATGTTGTTTGACCGGAGTGGTTGCAGAGAGGGCAGTGTGGCAGGTGAAAAAGCCTGACATAACAAGGTATTGATTGGATAATCGGCGTCATCTGATAGTAGTGTGGCTTACACCAACCCCTGCTGAGAACAACACAGCTTTAAACACTGTATGGGAAAAGTGGAAGTCCCTTCAAGAAGAAATATATTCTAAAACTTGAGTGGCCCTGGTTTCAGGACAGTTTGTTAAACATTAAAAAATAAAATAAAACAAAAAACTGTCATTTAAGAAATGTCTCACACTGATAGAACAAAAAAAAGCTGCTTTTTTTT